TTAGGAAAAAATTATTATTAAAAATGATCAAACTAGAGAAATCAAATAATAACAGGATAAAAATTAGAGATGATCATTTTTTAAAAAATAATATAATGTACACTTGTGATTTCAATAATAGAGAAATAATTTGGTTAAATCATTTTTTAGAGACAAATATAATACAAGATCAGTTAAAATAAATCAAAATTTAAAAACAATGCAGGAAAAAAGGAGAATGGCTAAAAATATGGAAAATAAATATAGAAAAACGAGTGGAGATAAGTGGATAGTTATAGATAATGAATTGAACGAGAAAAAGGTAGAAATTCCAAAAAAAGAAAAAATAATGTGATGATAAGTTTTTGGAATATTCAAGGATTAAGAGGAAAAATATTCAAAACCTCTGAGAAAATTTCTGGAGTCAAACGAAATTATTGGATTTTTAGAAACCTGGATTATAAAATTTAGTGAAATGGAAATAAAATATCTAGAAAAAGACAATAANAAGTTTTTGGAATATTCAAGGATTAAGAGGAAAAATATTCAAAACCTCTGAGAAAATTTCTGGAGTCAAACGAAATTATTGGATTTTTAGAAACCTGGATTATAAAATTTAGTGAAATGGAAATAAAATATCTAGAAAAAGACAATAACGTAATAATTAGTAATGCTCAATGCAAAAATAAGTTTGGATGTCCATCATGTGGAATTCTGTTATTGATAAAGAAAAAATTAGGTGAAATATTTCTACAATATATAACAGATTATGCTATTGTTGTTATAATATAATTAGATAATAAAATAAAAATGAGATGGTCTTATACATATTTAGGAGTAATAGGAATATATATACCACCTTATATGAAACCAATTCTAAATGAAGTGTAAAAAGTTTTGGATAGATGGTCGAACCTCACTCAAATGTGGATAATAGGAGGTGATCTAAATGCACGTATTGGCGAAGTTACCGATACCATATTTTGTCAGACATTTGAAAACTTAGTCAATAAAAGATTATCTAAAGATAAAGTGTTAAACACAGGAGGAAAAATACTTCTAGATTTTTTAGTTATTTGTCGAAACCGTGTCTTCTTTTTCTTGTTTCTTCTGATTCTATGTCACGACTTGGTGCATTTATAGACACTTGGCAAATAATTCCATCACCTACATTTACTTCTTACAGAAACGCGTTTCGGGCTTTCGCCCCTCTTCAGTCTGTTACGTCGATAGTTGTGACTTGTGTGTCCGTACTTCCCGCTCCCTTCCCCTCCCCTCTTTTTTCCCGACTTGACGGACTCCCCCGCATGCCTCGTAATTTGTAACATTACCCTTCTCCGAGTGTTGCACACAGCCTCGCCTGCGACTGTATAAACATTCTATTTTATTTTAATAATTGAAGCCAGTTTTTATGGATGTCGATGCTAAGGTTCTTGTTAATATTATTTTTGTCT